CCAGATGTATGTGAGTGGAGCTGGGCGGAGCGAGACATGCATCTGGCTGTTGTCAGGTTAAGGGCTTTGACCAGGATCTTTACATCACAGTTTAGGAGGGAGATGGGTCTGTATGAGCCACACTCTTTGCTATCTTTACCTGGCTTCAGTAGGAGGGTAATTGATGCTTCAGTCAATGTGTACGGGAGTGACCCATGGGACAGTGAGTCATTGAACATATCAAGTAGAATTGTTGATAGTTTATGAGAAAACTTTTTAAAGAACTCCATGGGATATCCATCTGGGCCTGGTGCCTTGCCGCTCTGCATTGCTTTTATTGCATTAATAATTTCCTTACAATTTAACGGAAGCTCGGATTCTGTCCTGTGAACTGTTGTTATAGAAGGAGCTTGGAGGTTATTAAAGAAATTTTCCATCTCAGAGCAATTATTTGTCATCTCTGAATTATACAGATTTGAGTAAAATGAGGCAAATGTGTCCTTAATTTCTTCTGGATCAATAGTTAGGTTGCCATCTTCTTTAGGTATTTGTGGGATTTGTTGAGAGGCAGAGTGGCACTTGAGTTGATGTGCTAATAAACGCCCAGCCTTGTCACTGTGCTCGTAAACATACCCTTGTGATTTTAATGTTTTTTCTGATAGTAAATTATAATGTGTTTGGAGTTCCAGCTTCCTCTTATAGAGCTCGGGGGAGGGGGAGACAGAGTATTGGGCATCCACCATAGATATTGCTTTAATAAGCTCCTCTTGCTTATTTCTTTTCATCCTATTTGTTTTTGCTGAGTAATGCAAGATCAAGCAATACAGAGGCATGATCTGATTCTACTATAGATGAATATTCAACTTTTTTGACAGAGGGGAGAAGGTTCTGGTCTATGAAGAAATAATCTATTCTGCTATAAGAGTGATGTACATTGGAAAAAAGAGAAGGAGTTACTTTGTGAAAATACAAAACGCCATGGGTCAACACCTCCTATCTGGTCCATAAAAACTGATAATAGTTTTGCCTTTTTAGAGAGGTTTGTAGTGTTAGAGCTGG